GACAAAATACGCACCACAGACGGAGTGTGTGAACCTGGCGTTACGTTTGTATGCCCGCCTGGTCTGTTCTGTTCTCGTGCTCCATTTAGGCGCGCTGCATTCTGATTGGTTCGGATAGCATACTGTGGGTCGGGGGCGCGGAAAATCGTGCTATAAAGCGATTTAGAAATCGTGCATGCTCAAATCACGATTTTATGATGATTTCGATTAATCGCACAGCCCTATTCTCTGCACTAGCTGGCTGCTGTATTGTGCTGTGTGCAGAAGAGGCCACGGCCTCCGCTGGCCTCAAGACCCCCGAGTCAGTCTCCAAAGCAACCTATCCAACGCACAATCAGAGAGTTTGGTATTGCAGAGCAAGTTACAGCTGCTCCGGCATGTTGCAAGTCTAGCCGTCAGTTTCAGGTGGATTGCAAAAGCATTATGCAGCAGAAGGAGTGAGACAATCTTGCAGTGATGCAGAAGTGTCGCCTGATGTCTCCAGTAGATTTATAGTGCAGGAAAGAAGGAAGTCTGACTCATAATATATCTGTGCTGTGTACTGTGGTAGGACATGTTATCAGTGGTGGCACGTCTGCTTGCACACAAACAAAGCGAGAGAGATAAGATAAGAGGGGGTGACTTGTGTTGCCATGTGGTGGTGTTTTTCAAAGATTAAAATCTGGAGCCCTGATTATGTCAACCAAAATGACAATTAATTCAGAGTGCTTCCTGCATCTGCACCTGTACAATACTGACCAAAAGGTTGTCTTTAAATGGCGTCTCTCGTTCTTCTGACCCTCATTATGGCCGCCTCTTGATTGGGGGAGGGTTGTTTTGCGTTGGCCGGCAATTGGCAGTGTTCAGGCATTAATTAATTGCTTTTGACTGAATGAATAATGGCTTCGCTCATGTTCCTTGTTAAAATATCCCTCCCTTTCCCTAAGTCATTGATTCAGGCGGCTGCGGCCATTGTTGGGTTTCTCTAAGAGTCGCCTGCAGTCAATGTGTGAGGGGCAGGGCTGGACTCTGCGCTTAAAGCTGAGAAAGCATAGGAAAGTTTCCATTCAGACCAAGATTTATTATGACAAATGGTAGGGAGCTGCCGTGTTTGCACAGAACAACCTGGTTTGTGATTTCATATTATAAAAAAAATCCCATCTTAATATTCAGTTTAACCCTTGTGTTGTGTTCCAGTCATTTTGAAAAATTTGCATTTTTCCTGAAAATACTAATGTCATCGTATTGGACTAAAACTTACTGACTTTGCTCACACAGTGTTTAACAATTTCCACAAAAAAAAAAAATATATAATTTTTTGTACTATTTTTCCCCACCTGGTTACAAATAAAATATGCCTACAAAAATTGCTTATATATTTTTTGTTATTTTGCCAAATACTGGATTCAATTTGTCAAATTCTTTTCTTTGTTATCACAGGTTTTGTATTTCTTTTTGGAACTGATTGATCATAGGCCTCATTGATCTGAGCTTATGCACCTGAGAATTTCCAAAATGGTACATTTTCCACAAATTATGCCTTTTTCACTCAAGAACTGAGGTGCATAAGCTCATATGAGTGGGGGCTATGAGAAGTCAGTTCCAAAAAGAAATACAAAACCTTTGCTAAACAAAAGAAAACAAGTTAACAAAAAGATTGAATCTGAGTTTTGGTGATTAATATAGAATACTTTTTTACAAGCAATCAGTCATTTCTGGCCAGGAACACCAAATTAGGTGAAGGATTTTCAGCTCAGTACAAGGTTTAATATTGTTTGTGTGTATTTCATTGTTGTTATTGTTAACTAAAACTATAAAAAACATTTTTTATTGAAATTAAGCTCAAATAAAATATAAATATTAGATGGAAAAAAATAGAAATGCAGCCTTATTAAAATTACTAAAACGAAAATTGAAATAAATATGAACTAAAGCCAAATAGAAATATTAAAAACTAATAAAAATGACAAAAACAACAAAAAATACTTAAACTAAACATGCAAATGAGGTGAAAACTTAAAATATAGACATAACAGCTAATTGAAGATAAATAAATACTGTAATAGTAATACTAAAATAACACTGCTGCCCAAATAAAGCTCATTTACTGTGGTTTAAGCTTTTTTTAAGCTTGTGTAATTTGAAGCCAGACCATAACCCCGTATTAACACAGGATGATCATCTTGAAGGCTGAGACAGCAGAAATTGCGCCGTGCCAAGATTTCAGCTGAGGTCAACGTTAAAAACTAGCTGAGTGAAAACATTACTGTTCTGAAACAGAGGAAATGAATCAAGACTTTCAGATCTAATTTGTAGCTGATACCGTTCAGGGATGAATGATGGCTGAATGCAGCTTCAGGATATGCATGGACGAACACTTGAGCTTGATGTTATCAGTGCAATTAGCCCCCAAGACCCACCCGCTCTCATTCTTTTAGCTGAAAACTTTTGGAGGAGAGGGCGAGATATCAGGATCATTTCCTCTCCTGAGCTGGGGTGATGGGGGTTTGTTATGGTAACCAATTTGATGCACGATGCATGTCGTGAAACTAGTTTTTCTTAATCAAATCTGATTTATTAGCAGCATGTTTTCTGCATTTTGAAGGAATGACGAAAACAAGATGAGGTGAAACCCTAATCCTGTGGTACTTTTCCATTTTCAGCAAGAAGCCCTGTTGAAATGGTATATCTGTCCCGTAGCTAATGGGGCTGCAGCTCTTCTTTTTGACGAAACGTTGTAGAGTAGCATGTCAAATGCAGGCTGGCCCTCTCCTCAGAAGGATGAGGGAGGGGTGGGGCCCTGGAGGGGCATGTTTGAACTGAAACACTCAGCAGGGTTCCTGATATTCAGATTAGTGTGACGGATGCCCCCTGTGGTTTGATGCTAATGAAAAGAATTTGTACACCCCAGATAATTAAGAAAAGACACTGTGCGCTGTGCAGTGGCTTTTGTGTCAGCTGGGCATTTTTGACCCATTTTTGATTCTGCTGAATCTGCAGTAATGTGACAAAAGAAATTGCATTTGAGTTTGAATTGAATGTGATGATGTGAAAGACAATATAGGCAACACGTTTCTATGCTTTGTCTTTGTTGGCGGCACACAAAAACACATTGAGTTCAAACAGTGCAGCCCGATACATGAACAAAGGACTAATGGGTTTTGGGTTTGCAGTCTGACTGGATCACACATAATTGCAATTTAATTTAAAACATAATTGCAATTTAATTTGGTGACAGTTGTGGCAGGAGTAGTATACGTGTAGTATAATTACATAAAATATATACAGTACAAAATATTACATAATTATACTGAAATATCATGATAATGTAATAATAAGGTCATTTATAATGTGTTTTAAACTTCATGTTTGTCTCTTTAACTTTGCATAAATATTTTCTTTATTATATGAAGATTATATTTAAACTTGGAAACCATGACTTCATTTGTTTTTGCTACTTTTCAAATTCAAAAGCCTTTTGTGTATGTATTTTTTTTTTTCAAGACCCAGATATTCAATCATGAATATATTAATTGATAAACATTTGGTAAAATGCATATTTAAACAAAAGGTGAAATGATTATAGACAAGATTACCATTCAAGATACAGTTTTGTCAAATTACGCAAAAAGCAAATATTTGTGTAATTGGGAAACATAAACTGGTATTCCTAAAATGCAGCCCGAATGCTATTAAACAATTTCATATGTGAAAGCATGGCATTATGGATGTTTCAGAAAAAACTGATCATCATGGTCCTGTGATCCATGTATATACGCTGCTGAGAATCTAGAGCCGGTGTGAAATTTGTGTTTTAAGAGAGTTCATTTTCTCAAAGTCCACTGAACCAAAAGTGAAGAAATCTAGGGTTAATCTCAAGGGTTACTTCAAGTAAATATTTTAGGTCATAGAGGTTTGTCTGGGTGTACACCTGGTGTAACAAATTACTAAATCTGTGAGAGCGTTTATTGAATTAGCATCTGACTCTTGTAATGACTGGGTGTTTATGTCAGCTTGTAGTAGTTAAGATGCACATTTACAACAGGGGTTTTGCTATAATAAATGGTAAAGTATTATTAAAATAGTGTATTAAAAAAATGTACATGTCCATAGAATATATGTGCAAGTATATGAAACTCAGTGTCATGATGTAAAGACCTGATAGTGCTTGCGTTTCATTTAAGAGGAATGAGTTTATTGAAAGTCTCTAGGAATGAAGGTGTGACCTTGGTTTCTCTTCGCTGTTTGGACTGTTTCTTCCTCCACGCCAACCAGTGATCTGAGGGGGACTGTGAGCGCTCAAGCATGAGCTGCAGAAGTCAAAGGTCGTGGGGCCCTTATTGTTGGAGCATTAGACTGCGGGGGAAGCGATACTGCGGAGCCTTGGACTTTGGGGAAAAGATATTAACACCTAGCACCTAGAGTCAGGAAGGGAAAACGAAGAGAACAAAGGAGTTCTGCAGAGAAGGGCTAATTCACTGTGAGGCAGCTGTGCTCTCTCATTACAGGAATTCACAAAATGCCTCACCTTAATGATGTCAGTGCAAATCCTTTTAAAGAAACCCAAGTATGTGAATGAAGCACAGTGATGCATGGTTCTTAGATCAAGAATGTCTTAGATCTTAGTGATATCTGATAACGGGAGATTCTTTAACGAGGGAAAAAAAAAAGCTATAAAAGGTCCTTGCTTTCATCCATTGCACGTCATGAATCTGCATCAAGATATCTCTGATGTGATGTCTGGAATACCAGCAGGATAATCCATGCATTCATATTTTAACATTGTAATTGAAACAAAGCATTTAACGTCAAACAAATTAAATGCTTAAGCTCAAATACTTTTGCTTTTTTGTTTGTCTTTGCCACAGGTAAGTTTGAGGAGAAGGAGGACCGTGTGCCCAAACTGGAGCAGCTGAACACTCTGGGCTTCATGTGCAGTCTGAACCTCACCCTCAACAAACGTGACCTCATCAAGATGGAGCTGCTGCTGCTGGAGACGTTCGGATGGAACCTGTGCATGCCCACACCTGCCCATTTCATTGACTACTACCTCCATGCTGCTGTCCAGGAAGGGGACCTGCACAACGGCTGGCCCGTCTCCTCCCTGTCCAAGACCAAAGCCTTCATGGACAAATACACGCACTACTTCCTGGAGGTTTCGTTGCAAGGTGAGAAAAATGCCACTTTTCTTTTTTCTTTTTTTTTTTATTCGAAAAATTAAGTAATAATCAATTAAGTAGGTCAGAAAATGCAATTTGAAAAGATCATCAAAATTTGTACATTTGATAAAATTGTGATCATCACAGACTTCTAGTAGACACTACTGATACAAATTTTGGGTTAGGTAAGTTTTCTTTTTTTATGCTCCCCAAGGCTGCATTTATTTGATCAAAAATACAATAAAATGGTAATATTGTGAGAGGATATTGCAATTTAAAATTGCTGTTTTCGATTTTATTATTTCTTTAATGTGATTTATTCCTGTGATTGAAAAGCATCATTACTCCAGTCTTCAGTGTCACATGATCCTTCAGAAATCATTCTCATATGCTGATTTGGTGCTCAGATTTTTCTTATCAATGATGAAAACAGTTGTGCTTCTTAATATATTTGTGGAAACAGTAATACATTCATTACAGGATTCTTTGATGAAATAGTTCAAAAGAACAGCATTTATTTGAAATGGAAATCTTTTATAACATTAATGTCTTTACTGTCACTTTTGATCAATTTAATCAATAGCCTTGCTAAATAGAAGTATTAATTTCTTTAAAAAAAAAAGAAAATCCTACAGACTAGGATGCACCGAAATGAAAATTCTTGGCTGAACCCGAAGCCGAACAAAAGTGAAACACTGGGCCGAAGGCCAAATACTGAATACCGAACACGGTTTTTCACATTTTCCCCCCATGTAGGCCTATTTTACCGGGGGTTTTTTCTCCACCATTGCATTAATTAAATTGCCAAAATGGGCTTTTTACTGTTTTGTCCTGCTTTTCAAATAAAAAATCAATTACAAAACAACAATTTAAAAATATTTACTTAACACTGAACATTTTTTTAAACATTCTAGCAGACATTATACCAGCAAAGCACAATTTAACTTAAAATGAATAAGTTAGTAAAATAATATTTTTTGGCCATTTTTGAGACTTGAAGCAGGCATGTATTTTTTACTGTACAAATAAAGGCAGCCTTGCTGAGCAGAAGAGACTTCTTTTGAAACATTAGAATATATCACAGATCCCAATTTGACAAACCATATCTTACGAA